TCATCTTGATTATAAGGTAGCAGTGAGAACTTATTTGAATGAGTATATTTTTCTAGTGGATTGAACAAGTTTGTGGAATTCTGCGTTTTTTTAATAATATTTAATGGGGCATTTCTGAAAAAATTATTGAAGCTATTCACAACTAAAGTTGGATCTTCAATCCATTCGGCGTTTTCATTCCTTATTGATATGTTATTGTGAACCTTTACTTTGTTTGAGAGTTCCGATATAACCTGCCATGCTGATTTTGTGGGGTTATCTGAGTTGGTGATTTTACCTTGGAAATACTTTTTTTTTTGTTGGTAGATTTCACTAAACTGGTGTGGATTTTTTTCTGTTGAATATAGAGTGGAGTGAAGTACATTCATAAATAAACAGTGCTGGTACTGTCAAGAGTTCCATTTTTTTTTAATCCTTTGCACAAATCATCAAAATTTAATCGCATTGATGAAAGAATAATTCCTTATTATACCCGAACTTGAAAATTTTAAAAATTGAAGGTTCTGGCTATATTGTAGTTAGAATTCTTTATCAATATCGTCAAACCATAACAGGCCTGACTCAGCTTCTTGAAGATGAAATCAATGCGGTTTTCGAAATTCAGTGTCTCATCAATGAAAATTCCGCGAGATTAGGGGTGTGAAACAAATAGTTATCTTTGGCATAACCAAAGAATACAAAGCCCATAGAAGCTCAAAAGTTGCAATTTTGTGAAACATAAAATTTTTAGTACTTACCCTGACCACCAGAGAGCGATGACAGTACAATGTCAGTATTTAATGTGATTACCAATTGAACTGGGTAGCAGTCGCTGACAAACCGATCAGCTTTTCAATTAAATTTAATTCTGGTGTACATCCCGACTTTAATATGATCCGGCCGACTGGTTGTCAACGACTGCTAGCCACCTAATTCTGTTGATACATTAAATACTGACATCTTACTGCCATCGCCCTCTGGTGGTCAGGGTAAGTACTAAACATTTTACGTGACACGAAAATGCCACTTCCGAGCTTCTATGGACTTTGTATTCTTCGGCATAACTCAATGTAAATAGGAGCTTCAAGTGGTAGATTTACTTTAAAGAAAACTGCATTGGATTTCTCAGGGTCAAGAACTAGCCTAGATTTTGTAAAGCAGTTCCTTACATCATTTGAGAGATTCATCAGATCTGGAAAGGAACTATCCATGAATGGAATTATACTATTCTCTGCATACAAGAATTATACTATCATCGTTATATAATAGCTTCTTCAGATATGTATTCAGCGTGTATAGATACGCCTGAAGAAGCCATTGTATAGTGAAACACAAGTCGCGCTTTTTGTGAAACTGTTCGGTCAAAATGTCACAATAAAGTGTTTCTTGAATAATGCTTGCTTGAATTCTTGAGCGTTTGTGTCAAAAATCAAAAGAAATATAATTATTTAAGGGTTACATCCTGAGTGCACCATATTTAATTGGTTAGACTGCATGATATTCCATAATTTCTGAATCTTTGTTGAGCAAATGACTTTGAGTATGATAATTTGATATAATAATGCTTCGCCGGATTTTATCCTAAATTATTCATAAAAAAGCAATTACCCAAATATAAAATTTTTGAAATTATGAGATTGCATGTATTTCGATCTATTGAGCTTGGTGTGCAAGGAATTTATTTTGAGAATAACAAAACGATAATGTAGACTCGATGAACTTTGTTTCACACCAAATTCTAATATTTTTGTGTAATATCTCGACAAACAAAAATTATGCTCATTAAAAAGCTTAACAATGAACACCAGTTTATATTCATTTCGATCATTCAAATAGGATTAGTGCATTTAAATTTCTGTAAATCTCCATAAAAGCTGCCATATTTTGAGAACTATTCTTTGAGAAATAAAAATGGAAATTCAGCTTTGACTTCCTTGTTGAACCTACTAGAGCATTGTACAACAAAAAAAGTAACTTGAGGATTATTGACTTTTTGAAACTGTCCACATGATAAAATATTTGTACTTTAATTATATGGTTTCTTTTTCACTGCTACTCAAATGAGTCATTGAATATTAGTGTACCTATTAGTATACTGAACTTTTGTGTATCATTCATTTTTTATCCAGATTCAAAATTAAAGCAAATCCTGTAAATAAGAAAATTTTGCAAGGACCCATGAAACCAACAGTTCCTGTTCAGAAGAAACCATCAACTATTCCAGAACCATTTAAACTGACAGCTCCACCAAAGAAGGTAAGATAAAATTGCAATATTTTATGTTCCTCTTCCAATTTTAAGTTGCATGAGATTTTTTTCATAAATATCAATAATATTAAATTGATGAATGTAGCTGTTACTACATGATAGATCATCATGAAAAATGATAAATAAAACTCAATGTTTTTTTTACCACTTGTAGCAATAAAACATAAGGAGGTTTCATTTCTCATTTTTCATGATGATCTTACTTCACGTAGTAACGGCTATTTAGGAAACGGGATGCTTTGGCTCTACAGCGACCATTAAGGATGATATGATGAAAAGAAATTTCAATACTGTCATATTTCTTATGATTTGATATGAATCATTTTGCAATGCGACGTTTCCTTATTTAGATTTTATCATCAGCTTTATTTTTTCAAATATGGATCTCTGATTTCTGACNTACTCTAAAACTAACAAATTTGGCTATCTTGTCTATTGAACAAGAGGTGTGTAATGCTATAGACATTGATGGTGCAATGCAACATTTTGTTCTTAAAAAAAGTAGACGTATACATTTCAAATTAAAACCGGAGGTTTTGTTTTTAACTCTGACAAGTACCTACTTATATTATTTTCCAAAAAGATATGAATATTACTTAATCAAAAATTGATTTTCATTTTATATTCAATTTGCCTATTATTCAATCATGTCGATTGAATAACGTGAACGTGATTGTAAAACAAATGTTCAAAAACCATAATGATTACATTCAACCTGACTCACAGTTAAACGGTATTTACCTGGTAGGTCAAAAAATATCATAGGTACTCGGTTAAGAATAAAACATCTTCAATTTCAAAACAAGGTCATACAAATTGCTCCAATAAGACATAGTTTTTCAGTATATATCCAAAATAGTTACAAACAAATCATTTTGTCAAAATTTGTTTCAAATTGACCATCAGCTTCATATTTGCTATCATAATATTTTAGAATGTCCAAAAATTTCGCAAATATGGTTTTACGAAGGCATATACAATACCTAAAGATGGGTATAAAACAATGCATCATGCTATATGATCGAATTGACCGGTACTTGATGAAAATCTATTACTAACGTATTCGAAAAACACTTCAGTGTGAGATTGTCACTAAACAGTTTTACAAAAACGCAACATGTATTTCGTTATACAATGGCTTCTTCGGGCGTGTCTCACAATAAAGTATTTTTGAATACATTAATGCATCAAACTGCTAACGTTTTTCACGAATGACATCCAGAAAAACAAATTCACTTTTTAGCGGTCAGTATTATTTCAAACATTTCAAGCATATCAGATCACAACATCATTTTATGAATGAAGAGGCGTGAAAAAACTTCTATGAAGCTGAGAAAAATAAGTACCTCGCATAAAAGTCAAAATTCATTTTTATATTTCAATCTAGAGACTTTGATTCGAGATACGATTTTATTGGAGATCCAATAGAATAGCTAAATATTTGGAATTTTGGAAGGAATTCCAAAAATCAACGGAATTCCTTTCAAAATTACAAAAATCCACAGCTTTTGAACCTGGATAAAAGAGGCACTGAAAACCTCGGTGGCGAAAGCCTCAACTATTTTGTCATATTGTATCACATTGTGTTGAACTAACGATTTGGTGTTGGGAAAAAACTCCAGTAATATTCATTACACCAAAGGTTCCAAACAGTGCCTCACATATTGTATCATTCCTGAATTTTGTTGTCGATAACGTATGTCAATAATCACTTACTCGAACTTTATGGAAAATTGATTGCATTTACAACGTGACGTTTGGGAACATCCCAATTTATGTTTTCCTCGAGTTTTGGAGCGTCTCCTTGAACAAATAGTGTCACATCGAATATTTATATTTGTTGCATTTGTCAATGGCTAATATACGTTACTGAGAGTCCACATCACCGGCAAAAAAAGAAGAAGTAGAGATGTCAATTTTAAATTTGAAATAACCGTCAGTTAAAAAGTTTCTTGATGTAATTAACATTGTTTGCATACTTAAAAATAAGAATTATATACTGTTGTTTCGACTTACAAGTTGGGATTTCAAGATCAAAAATTGATGATGTCAGAAAGCTTTGACTACTTCAATGCACCTCAGTTTTTTGATTTCACTAAAACAGCAATGGATCAAGAAAATGAGCATGGTGATGACTATTTTGGTAAGAAGTAACTGAATCAGTTATATTATTGTTTTCCATATGTGACTGATTTTGTAGATTTGGATCATGAGAATTCAGTAGACCCTCTAGGAGATGGAAACCACTTGAAGGATACATCAGTAACAAGTGAGATATTGTTGAATAATTTCTTTTGTTGTTTTCATTACTTATGGATTTGAGTCCAGTTTTTTCAATAGCAAATGTTGCAAAATATAGATTCCTACTCTTTTACTCCAAAACATGCAATTCTTCCAAAAGATGAACATGCCGTATATTTGTTGATATGCCTCTAAACTATAAAACATCATAGTAATGATTCGCCCAATACATAATTTTATTTGTTCAATTCATGGCAAAAGGTGAATAACATTCTCTTGTAAGATCATTCTCTGTTTAGAACAGTGTGTTTCAATACAATTGAT